TAAAATATAGACTATGCAGAGAGAAGCCCAAATTTTGGGTGTGGTACAAGTATTTAACTGTAGTCTAAGAAGAGTTTCCAGTCTGAACGAAACTGTGTGTCAGAATTACTTTTGCGATCCAGGACTATTCTAGACTTCACTCCCACGACTTAATGAGCCATTCTGCCATAGAAGGGGCCCAATAAAAGGCTTGCAGCAGTTTGGATATACAATGCTAGCTCAATGTTCTTTGTGGGCATATATGGTTTAGTGAGGCTTAGTAAAAATATTGCAAGTTGAAATGGGAACTCAACTTTTAAGATCTGAAGGCAAAGACCTGGAACACAATCTCAGATAATGAGTAATAGGAAGATCTTCACACAGAACATACTGCATGAACTAAGTCTGAAGAAAACTGGAAGTCACCGAAGACTGAACATTAACTTTACATGCTCTGTAATGTAAATACTGTTCTGGCATCACATGTAATTTCTGGATTCTTTTCAAGAGCAGTCCTATGTAGAATGCACTGAACTGAAATTTAAATGAGACCAAGGTAGGTGTGACAGTGACCAAGCCTTTTTCTAGAAAAAAATACAATCTATCATCAATAGGCTTTGGTTGATGATGTCCCATCAAGTCAGTATTAACTCTCAGCAGCCATCTTCTCCAGGACCACCTGTCCCTAACTCTCCCAATGGTTACGCCCATCCAATGGGTGTACCCTTCCAATGGTGCACCCATGGCTGCTGTGTCCATCCACTTTGCTGCTAATTGTTCTCCTCTTCTCTTTCCTTCCACTATTCCCAGCATTACAGACTTCTCCAGAGAGAAAGGTATTTGCATCATGTGTCCAAAGTAGGATAATTTGAACCTGGTCATTTGTGCCTTGAATGAGAACTCTGGACTTATTTTACCAACAAAATCAAAGGCTTTTCTTTTTTCTTTTAATATAATTTTGATTGCAGAATTTTTTAACAAGATAAAAGCAATACAAATACAACCAAACAAGGGTGAAGGCCTCTATTAAGGCCTACCTTACGGCGGCAATGGTGGCAAAACAATAACTTCTCTGCCTTTACTGTGTCTGCTGAGTGCTGCCCAGTGGCCTTGTTTCAGGTGACTCGACCCCACTGAGTAAGGGGGACCCAGAGATTCTCCTGCAAACCTACGCAGAGGAATTTTCAGAGCATCTGTTGGGCAAAATTGCTCAAATTCATTCCCAGGTAGGTGCCAGCTTTGGTGCAGGTCCAGCGGAGATGCCTCGGGCCCAGTCTTGCCTTGTTATCTGGGAACACTTTAAAGCTGTGGGGCTGAGGAAGTGGACAAGGTCCTCATGACTGTGAGTTCGGCCACCTGCTCATTTGCTCCATGTGCCTCCTGGCTAGCTAAAGCTGCCCAGGGGAGTTGTGTGGTTGGGTTCTAGCAGTGGTGAATTCATCCTTGAGAGAGAGGGTTGTTCCTCTGCCTCTTAAGGAGGTGTTGGTTCAACCCCTCCCCATAAAACCATCACTGGATCCCACCATACTGGATAATTTTCTTCCAGTATCCAATCTCCCTTTTTTAGGGAAAACTGCGGAGGTGGTAGTCACATAACACCTTCAGTGGATCCTGGATGAAGTGGATTATCTAGATCCCTTTCAGTCAGGTTTCAGACCTGGGTGGAAATGGTCTTGGTTGCACTTTCGGATGACCTCTGACAGGAGCGTGATGGGGATAGTGCATCCATCCTGGCTGTACTTGACCTCTCAGCAGCCTTCAATACCATCGACCATGGCATCCTTCTGGATCGGCTCCGTGAAGTGAGAGTGGGCGGCATGCTGCTGTGCTGGTTTGCCTCCTTTCTACAAAAGTTTGTTTTTCACGTTCATAGTAGTAAACAGCGTGATCTTCAGCGTGAACTGAAAGTCCCCAATTCCAGTCCTTTTCAATTCACTGATGCTAAAGATGTCAATGTGCAGTCAATTCATTCCGTCTTTCATTGGGTTGAACTCTCCCATGTTCATGCTTCTTACATTCCATATTCCCACTGTGTTTCTGTCTTTGCAGCTTTGGATTTTCTTTTCCTGTACAGCAACAACGGCAACTAGATGTCCTGAAGGCTTTACTCTAGCCATGTTACAAACAACATAAGTATTCCAGAAGATCCTCAGCTCTTCCTCAGTATCTTGTTCAGTGCCACCCATCATCCAGTCCTATATCATCAATCATTTTTTAAAATTTTCTATCCATGTGGTTTTCTTGGTGAAATACAGGAGTGCTTTACCACCGCCTTTTCCCATGCAGTATGAAACGATGTCTTTGCCATTGTCACCAAAATGATTATATACCTCCAGCATCTCCCTGCAGTGCTGCTGCCTAATATACAGTAGTGCTTAAAAATCTGTGAACTCCTTTGAATTTTCAATATTTCTGCATAAGTATGACCTAAAACGTGATCTGTACTCCACCTGTCGTAAAACTAGATAAAGAGAACCCAATTAAACAAATGAGTCAAAAACATTATACTTGTTCATTGATTTATTGAGGAAAATGATTCAAAGTTACCTATTTGTGTATGGCCAAAGTATGTGAACCTCTAGGATTATCAGTTCATTTGAAGGGGAAATGAGTCAGGTGTTTCAATCAATAGGATGAAAATCAGGTGTGAGTGCAGGAGGTCCTGTCCTACTTAAAGAATGAATTCTGGGTATTCATTATCCACATCTGATCTTCACAACATGAGGATGTGGAAGTGTGTCCTGGCCCAAGCAAAGGAGATTTCTGAGGACAGAAGTTGTTGTTGACGATGATGATGTTGTTGTTCACCAGGCTGGAAAAGCTTACAAAACTATTTCCAGAGTTTGGACTCCACCAGTCCACTGTCAGGCAGATCCTGTACAAATAAAGGCAACTCAACACCATTGTTACCCTGCCCAGGAATGGCTGACCAAGAGCAAAGCTCAAGAGAAAGTGGGTCATACAGTAAGACAACTCAAAACACATGTTGTACAACCAAAGAATGATTAAAGCAGGAGTTGATGTTTTGGAATGGCCAAGTCAAAGTCCTGGCCTTAATCATATAGAAATGTTGTGGAAGGACCTGAAGTGGGCAGTTCATGCAAGGAAGCCCACCAACACCCCTGAGTTGAAGCTGTTCTGTAAGGAGGAATGGGCTAAAATTCCTCCAAGTCAATGTGCAGGACTGATCAACAGTTATCGAAAATGTTTAGTTGCCATTATTGCTGCTCAAAGGGGGGCACACCAGTTATAGGTAGTCCTCATTTAGCAACTGCCTTGGACAGCGACCATTCACAGTTATGATGGTGATGAAAAAGCAACTTTGGGACCAACACCCACATTTACGACCTTCACAGCATTTCTCAGTCATGCCTTCACCATTACAGTCAGTTAGTAGGCATTGTCCTGTACCTGACCACTTTTTTCTCCCTCCTCCTCACAAAGTGGAGAGACTGCCTAAACAAGCTATCTCTTCCTGAGCTGCTTTTCTCCCCAGGGCAGCACCTCCCTACTAACCACAAGTTAACAAGCTCAGCTGTGATCTTAATTAGTTGATTAGAACTCTAGAGCCCCCTGCAACCGCTATCTGAAACTGACCAGACCTTAATCAGTTTCACACTGAAGGCTTTTTTGTCCTAAATGCACTTGGTCAGAAAATGAATTTTTTATTACTGTTTATTATAGACGTATTTGCGAACGATCACTATCTGAGGCAGCTGCTGAATGGAGACTATCTGTACAATGTCTTGACTCATTTAATTAGGTTCTCCTTATCTAGTTTTAGGAGAACTAAAGGAGAACTTATATGGAGAACAGTTCACGTTTTAGGTCATATTTATGCAGAAATTCAAAAGGATTCACAAACTTCTAAGCACCATTGTAGATGCCTGCTTGCTTTAGCTGGGCGGTTGGGATGACCTTTGTGCCTTTGGCGGCCCTGCTGGGAGTATGTGTTCTTGGCATGCGCCTCCAGCATTCTTCATTCATCCCAACCAGGAACACTCCAGCCATGATAAGGCAGCACAGCGGGACTTGGTGGGGCATCAATAGGTTATTTATTCCAATTATTTAAGATTTCCTGTTCAGATAAAGTATAAAAGATAAACCACGCTCACTCCTTCAACTACAGCATAAGCCTGTCAGATTCAGCCGGCATGGCGAAGGCACCGCTCAGCTTCGCCTAGTCAATTTCAGGGTAAACCTTACAAAGGCTACCAAAAAAGTCTTATTCCAATGAGCCTTTCCAATCCTCTGACCCTCATGCACTGTTGCCAGCATGGAATTAAACACCCTGTTTTATTCTACTGCATTGGTACAGCTGAACCTTCATCCATAGTGGCAAAAACTATCATGAGGCAGTCACATTCTGTCACAACCATGGTACTTTATAGAGAATGTTCTAATTCTCTCTTCCAAGTGCAGATGAACTGGTTGGCTCCAGTGTTGGGAGAAAGATTACTCACAATGGAAAAATGGAGGTGATAGAAGCAAGGACAGAAAGGTATGGAGCCGCACACCGGAGTGTTGATGTAAACTTTTCTTTTTCATATCTCATGGCTTAATTTCTTTGGCTCACTATTTCCAACTCCCTTTATGTGCTTTGCATAATGCTGCTAATCTGTAGAGAGTAAGGAAGAAAATCTTGTTGGAAATATGCAGGAACTGCTACCCAAGCAAAAGGGGCTGAAATGTTTTTTAAGTCCAGAACGACTACATGACATTTGGAAGCAGCTCAGCAGACACCTCCCTAATCCCCTGGAGTATAAGGAGGAAGAGGAGGTATAGCACAATCAGACTTGCAAGGTTCTGTTACAGGTGGTCCTCATTTAACCACCACTCATTCAGTGATCGTTCAAGCTTGCGACAGAGCAGAATGAGTAGCATTTACAACCGGTCCTCAGAGTTCCAGCCATTGCAGTATCCCCGCGGTCACGTGATCATGATCCAAGTACTCAGCTCGCAATTACGTCGCAGTGTCCTGCAGGTATGCAATCACCATTTGTGACTTTCTTTGCCAGTTTCCAACAAGCAAAGTCAATAGGGAAGCTGGCAGGAGGTCGCAAATGGCGACCATGTGACATCGTTGCTTAACGACCTACGGTGATTCGCTTAATGATAGCAACCAGGAGTGACAGAATTGCTGTCATTAAGTGGTGCATCATGTGGTGTTGAGTTTTACGACCACGTTGTTTAGCTGTCATTAACCAAGAACTATCTGTATTAGTGATTTCCTGCTCTTGTCTACCTAGTGGGGCTGACATAACCCCAAGAAAGAAAACCATGATGGGTTTTTAATGTACGTGTATAGGTTTAACCTTGATTCTGTGGACTGCTAAAGGGCTTCAGCTATTGAGTGGTACAAAAATGCTATTAAAAAGACTCCTAAATAATCTGAAGATTGGTATCCTGCCCAAGGCAGTAATGAAATGTTCATTTCTTATGCTGCAGAAAGACTTCACATTTTCAGGTCTTAATGCATTATCTTATCACAGCTTTCCTTCCCCCGCCCCCAAAAAGCCACACATACCACAGTAAATGAAGTGCAAAGCCTTTTCCGCAAGGCCATTTTGTTCCAGCAAGTGCCCTCTGCCAACCACATTAGTGACCTTGGATGCCTCATACCCTCAGGGTGGGGCTCCTCAGTTCCAGGGCTGAGGTGACTCTGAAGTCAGGCCAGCAGAAAATCAAGGCCGGTTCAGGAGGATGAGCAGAACATAAGTGCCACGAGCCTTTAGTTTACTCTGTCAGAAGCCTTGCAATCAATTAATCATTTTGCTAATTAGCTTGCTTCATTTCTGCCATTATAAGCGCAGATGGATTCATCTGTCTCTCAGGAATGCCCAAGGTTGTATCAGCATGAGACCAGGAGAGACCAGGGAAAAGCGCAAGAAGGACTATGGGATGGAAGTGGGGTGGTGAAGGGAAAAGTGGTTAGGTAAAGTTTGGCACACGCGGGCTTTTTAGTTTCAGCAATTCTTTGCAGACTGTGTACTACTTCTCAATAAATTAATCTTTCTTT